ACCACGGTCACGGCAGTAAAAACACGGCGTGAGGTACTTCTTGCAAGTGGCTCCACGGGCACACATTCTTTCGAGACAAGTCCAGCATCGGCGTGCTTCCCTTATCAGCTCTCTTCTTTCGAGTGGATCACGGAAGGCCGTGCAGGAATCCGAATAGTGTATTCCTGAGGCCTCGCAGAAGGCGCATTTCATATATCTTTCATTTCCTCTGACAATACGTCCGTGATCAAAGCGACGTGGCGGACAGAGAGGCTCCTGTTCATACTGCCGTAAGATCTCTTCAAAGTTGCGGATTGCCTGCTCCGTGCTACGGATTTCGTTTTCGATCTGGATTGCCCTGCGTCTCAGATTCTCCCTTCTTGGAATATCTTCAGGGATGTCGTCCTCATCCTCCAACTCGCGCTGGTCTTCGTCCAGATCCTCAGGCTCTTCCTGTTCTGGTTCTTCGGGCTCTTCCTCACTACCTTCCGCCTCAGAAAGGTCGTCGTGGGCCGAGTCGGAGCCCATGTCCTCATCGGCTGAAACCTGGTCGTCGTGATCGTCGTGTTCAGATTCCGACTCTATCAGTCCTTCAATGAACTCTTCATTTTCTCTTATTATCTCATCTTCTCCACGAACCTTTGGGGTTCCCTCCCCCGCGTCTTGAACTGGTGCAGGTGCTTTTCCGTGCAAAGCATTCCTGACCGCGTCTTGAATATCGAGGTTGAACTGCTGCATCGAATCGAGTTCATTCCGGAGTTCTCCTTCGAATGGCAACTGCTCTTTGTCCGCATCGTTTTGAGCCTCTGCGCGGAGATCGTTTAGCGAAAAACGGAGAGAATTCAATGCCTGGAGTTGGTCGGATGTGATGTTCTCCAGAGTACTCAGGTCCATTACTAGCGGTTTATTAGGGCTGGTTTCCTGTGGTCGGCGCATCAGAGTTTCCCAACTCTGTATCGTCATTTTTTCCAAGGCGATTAGCAAAGGCGGAACCGAGAAAAGAGTGAACAGTTGAGATCTACAGAAGCGGAACTGCAGAGTAAGGTAGTCAATTTCAAGATTCAGAGAGCCTATTTCCGAAAGACGTTGCTCAGAAGGTTTATCAGAAAGACGAAGTCTACGGAATTTCTCTTTGAGAGAAGTAACGGCCTGGGTATGAGTATAGTGGTCAGTACACGTTCTAACAATCTTTTCATACAACACATCAGCATCTGGCAGAATTGGAATGGCACATTTAAGCTGATGAAGACTTCTCTGTGCTTGACGCAGCTGTTCTTTCAAATTTCCAACTTCGTTCACTCTCTGAAACAAAGTACTGAGTGTTGGAAATCTTTGCAAGGCGCACCTAACTTTTAGTTTACCTCGATAGGCATCTTACTAGTCGAGTATGATTATGAGGCGCACCTATGTAGGGATGACTTCTGAGTGTTTCTTGACTCTGAAGGAGCTTTAATTATTCCAACGCTCAGGTGACTGTCAAGGTTAAAGGTGATTGAATACAAAAGCTAATCTTTTTTCTAACTATTTATTTATTTATTTTTATTCACTTTTTTTTCGTCACTTTTTTCCTTTTTTTTGCGCATGAAGGGTAAGATAATGTATGAATGACTGTCTCATTTCCTTATCTGAAGTTTATTGTTTGTGCGAGAGTGGTGCACTGTCGGTGATGATGAACCCGATGTGATTATATATGTCTTGGACCGACCTGGATTATGCCTAACCAATTTCCACCTGATGAGATAATCAGCAGAGGTTAATAAAGAACTCGTGCTGAGTATACGGTGGGTGATGTTACAACCCCGATCTTTTTGGAACTGACGCGCGTTTTCGTCGATTATGTGGGGATAGGCATAGTCATCACAGGCAACATATCGTTGAAATGGTTCAACATATCGTTGAAATGGTTTCTCGTTTTCGAAAGAGAGCGCTTTATCGAACATAACCGAGTGAAAGTATCTAGGGGCGATTTGCGTGATCCCTATCTCGTTTGCGCACTTATCAAAAACTCCGGACGCTTCTGCGACGTAGGGCTGCCGCACGGTGAAGTACTCCTTGTTGGCGCATCCGACACTTCCGCAAAGGGTAGTGCGACAAGAGCAAACTTGAATAAGCGAAAGAATCATGATATGGAAGAGAAACCACTTCGGTTTAATGCCCTGGACGGTACTTGCCATTGTTGCTGTATAGACGTCTTGTGCGTAATTCTTTGGTGTTCGTTGTCTCAAGTTGTAAGGTCGCGCGTGCGCTCTTGAGTTGACCACATCATTTTCGCCAGTATTCTTTGGTGTTCGTTGTCTCAAGTTGTAAGGTCGCGTGTGCGCTCTTGAGTTGACCACATCATTTTCGCCAGTCTTACCCGGAGATGGCGTAACCTGTGTAGGTTCGTTGTCATCAGAGATTCGTGCTTCCTGAATCTCGAGTGGTATCAACAGATTTATGGGGCGACGTATTTTTCTTTTTGTGCTTGTAAGAAGCTCTGCTTCACGCACTTCTTCGTCACGACTGTGTTTCAATTCCGTTATACGACCCATTCTCCATTCGTTCCGTGGCAAAACGGGATCGCACACCAAAACGACGTCGCCGATCTGAGGGTGTTCGTTTCCCTGTCGGCGGTTGGATAACTGTGCCCTGTGTGTTTCTCGCAAAGCAAGTAGGTATTGCTGTTGCCAAATATTCCAAAAACGTTCTGCTTCTTGATCTGATGAGTGGAGCGCTTCCTTTACCTGGCGCTGGTATTGAAGCGGACGTGTTCCATTCGAACCTGTGTAGGTTCGTTGTAATCAGAGATTCGTGCTTCCTGAATCTCGAGTGGAATCAACAGATTTATGGGGCGACGTATTGCAAATGTTGTCAAAAGAACGTCGATTTGCGCCTCTCAACACTTTATAAATCGCGTGTTAAATGGATTTGATGAGGCGCTCATAAAACCCTCCTTGCCATGGTGCATACGGCGTTATATGATTCCACCGTATTTCCTTATCTGCAATTCCACGCTTGATGTCTTCTTTAATTTCTGCCAGATCTTGTCCAAGAATGCTTTCTGTGAGCAAGAAGGTTGGCGCATTGTCACAGGTTATAGACTGTGGAAGTCCTCTGCGCGCAATAAATCGTCGAAGTGCGTTTATGAACTCTTTCGTAGCCATACTTCGCACAACTTCTATGTGGATAAGGCGCGTCACTGTGCATGTGAAAATGCATCCGTACAGCTTAATCACTTTCCCGTCTTCTCTACAAGACGGCAGGTCGAAAAAATCCAACCCAGTATTTTGAAACGGGCGGCATTTGACGACCCGCTGCTGAGGAAGGTCTGTCATCTCGGGGTAGCGGTACGGTAGCGCATTGAAGCGTCGGCATTTGACACAGGCGCTTACCACTTTCCGAACTTGCTGGCGCAGTTTGGGGACCCAGTACAGTTCACGCACTTTGCTTATGGTATGTTCAATACCTCTGTGAAGGTTTCCATGTGCCTCTTGAATTATTAGTCTGGCTAAAGGTGTATTGGGAGCAATAAACAAGGGGCTTTTCGCCTCGTCTTTGAGTACAGCGTTTCCCAACCTTCCTCTGGATCTCCATAATAGATTGTCATCTTTGTATAGTCTTAAGGTGTTTTCCATTGACTTTCGATAGTGATGAGACAGGTGCAAGAGTTGATGGTTCCGTATAAGAGCAATGCGCCCTTTCAATGTTTCAACTCCATTCAGGGTATCAGCGTTATCCGCAATTGCCTCCAGTTCTGGGATATTTGTGAGAATTCTTCTTCTCACGTCATAACTCAGGTGACGTATACATCTTTTAATGAAACGGAGAACAACGGCGGTTACTCTCTTAGCTGCGGTTATCGAGTTGAAACGTTCCCAAGAGAGTAACTCGGTGATGGATGAAGCTTGGTTCTCTACAGCATTTACCTCACAGACCACGTCACAAGGGTCTCCTTCTGATATGTTCTCGTCCATAGTCAGATGATAAAACGTATTGTACCAGTATTTCTCTGGCTTTGTCAAAAAGGATGGGCCTGTCCACCATATGTGGTTGTCTAACTGAAGCCTTGATAGTCCTCGCGTCCCTGCGTCGGCCGGATTTTCTGAGGTGTTCACGTAGGCAAACTTCACTACTACTCCCTCATTATTCAAGCTTTGGACGATCCTGCGGATTTCACGCAGTCTGTTGGTAACCAGCACACCTAAGCTGCTTCGCTTAGATGGGGAGAGCCAGCTAAGTGCTATCTGTGAGTCAGAGAATACATATACAGTCCATGGGTGCGAGGGAATGCAACCTTTCACCGCTTGCGTGATGGAAAAGGCCAGGCGTACAGCTAAAGTCAACGCATTCATCTCCAACTTCGGCATTGTAGTCGTGGCTTTTATTGATGGCAATTTTCCTTTTGCCATTGCTAGTGTGGAGGAGACGTCATTAAAAAGATAAGCGCATGTCGCAATTGCGCTTTCGCTAGCATCAGCGAAGACGGCCAGGCTCAAAGGCGCGGAGCGATCAGTAAAGCGCCTGGGGAAGCATTTCTGGTATCCACTGATATTTTCGACGATAGCATTTCACTGAGCGACGACTGGTGATGGCAATGTGGCGTCCCATGTGTAACGTTGCTTCCATAAGTCCTGCTGGAACTTCTTTGCCGGCATCAGCAACAGTACAAGCCACCCCAATGGGTCATAGATTGAAGCATTTTGACGCATAACTTCGCGTTTAGTCAAGGTGTGGGATGATGATGCTGAGCCACTAATGCTCAAGCAATCATTTTCCGAGTTCCACTTAATCCCCAAAACTTTGTGAATAGGGCATTTAGTGTAGGAACCTTGCGGTAAGTTCTCGCTTAAGCTGGCGTCATTAGAGAGGAACTCCCTCAAATTCATTCCCATATCCTTGAAAATTTCTCGTGCTTTCAGAGACTTCCTTCTTGACTCCTCTTGGGTGTCTGCGGATAGTATAAGGTTGTCAACGTAAAGATTCTGGC